TTTTTGGGGTTAGGGGCAAAGGTCTCAGCTTGGGCCTGTACCCCATCAACATGACCTCTACTGAAGTTGATCTCTGATGTCTGATTGTGCCATGAAAGTGACTGTGGTTCCTTTCAGCCTCCTTCACTCACCCCCAAGCCCCGCAGCTTCTCCTTCTAAGATAGAAAGATTCTTCAAGCCTAGGTATTGGAGGGTTGTAATCTCTGCCAGTGGAGGGAGTAAACATCCACCTTAGTGAAGCTGCCACTCCTTTGAATTCTAGGATCAGATGAACGTAGATCATAGATTTTGAGCTGGAAGTGACCTCAGAAGCGATTTACCTAATAAAGAGAGGACCATGCCTGAGCCCTTCTCCTATTCTGCCTGGGACTTAGAGGATGTGGGAGAGACAGCTTTAAAATGCCTTCTGAAAAGGCCAGTTTCGAATTGTGAAATGCAAAAGATTTTTTTGTGTTTTTTTGTTCTTGTAATCGTACCTTCCCTAAGATAAAATCATCACCTGAAATCTTATCATGTCATTGATTGAGCTTTGATACTCAGCGGCCCTTGGGTTACCACTCCCCTCTTATTGTAGGGCAGAGAAATAAACTCTTCTCAAACTATGGCTTTGGAGGTTTGCCACCTTCTTTTCAGCTTTCATTTGTGTGTTTTCTTACTCCCCATTTGACTGTCATGGGCAGCAAGGTGGCACAGTAGATAGAATTCTGGGCCTGGAGTCAAGAAGACCTGAGTTTAAATCCAGCCTTAGACGTGGAACTAGCTGTGTGGCCCTGGGCAAGTCATTTAATCCTGTTTCCCTCAGTTTCCTTATCTGCAAAATGAGCTGGAGAAGGAAATGGCAAACCACTCCAGTATCTTTGCCAAGAAAACCCCACATGAAGTCGCAAAGGATTGGACACAAATGAACATTTGACTGTAAATTACTTGAGGGCGGGGACTATTTTTTTCTTATTTGTACTGGCACCCTAGCACTTTCCCTGGCACATATGTAGTGTACCTTTAATAAATATTTATTGACTGTTGTTTGTTTTATAAATTTTAAACTATCAACAGACAAGTAGAATTTAGAGAGTGCTGGTAGAGGGAAGCTCCTGAAACAACAATAAATGTTATTTGGCTGGCCAGGGACTATACGAATTAGACCTTTTAGGGAAATTTGAGTGTGAGCAAGCATGAAAAAAGGACTCTGCTTCCTTGAGGAATTTGCCTTGAGTTGACTGAGTTCCCCTCAGGCTAGGATGAATCTAAACCTATATAACCCAACTAGACAGTTCTGGGTCCATACCTCAAAGAAATCAAAGAAAGAGAAAAAGGACCTATTAAATACATACATAGGTTTGTAACAACTCTTTTCATAGTAGCCCCATACTGGAAACTAAGGGGGAGAGGAGGCATCTACCTATTGCAGAATGGATAAACAAATTGTAGTATATGAATGTAATGGAACATTATATGATAGTCTTTGAAGGAAACTGAAGATGTTGTGGTATGGTGTTACAGAGTGAATTGGGCAGAACTTAGAAGAACAGTTTCACAGTGACAACAACATAGAGAAAAACAACTTTGAAAGACTTGAGATCGATTAATGTGATGATAAACTAGGAGTCCAGAAGACTGAAGATAAATTACATCACCCACTTCTTGCCAGAGATGAAAGGGACTTAAGGTCCAAGAGGGCAATATGCGTAGTTGGACATGGCCAGTATGGGAATTAAAGTTTGAGTTTCGTTTTTGTTGTTCTATAGGGAGGGGACAATGAGAATGAGATGTACTAAATGTTTATAAAAAGAAATGGAAAACATTAAAAGCTCCCCCAAAACACACACACACACACACACACACACACACACTCTCTCTCTCTCTCTCTTAATTAGTCAAAGCTCCACATTAGTGGTTTAGATCCAGAGTATCAAACTTAATTGGACAATTAATAATTCTCTTAAGGGGACGTTTTCCAGTGGCATACTTCTTGCGTCAGAAACTTCCTAAGTAGATAAAAGAAATAATAGAAAAGGATTAGGTTGCAGTCTGGAGTGGCAGGTAGTAGCGATGATCACAGCTCTATCTAAAAGGTATAATTTGAACCTCAGTCATAATGACTACAAGCCCAAGCATTCTGTCCATTATACCAAGAAAAATTATTACATGCTAACTAAAGTGCCACTATTCAAGGAAACAAAAAAAATCTGTGTGGGACTTTGAGGACAAAAGGCGGTGACAAAAAGGATTGAGTCTTAGAGATGAACTCTGTGGACACTTTGATTTGTGGTAGGATGTGGCAAACTGGATTGGAAAAAATGTGTTTTCCTTTCTTTGTTGCAAAGATAAAGGGACTGAGAGTAGGAATGTTGCATGTGATGTCAGAGAAAAATAAAATTATATCTTAAAAAATTATTCTCCCCTATCCATAATTATAAAGAGAATTTTTCATGGTGTAATCTTTTATATTTAGGTTATTTATCCCCTTCTTAGCATCTCTTGCCTGGCAGTTGAGTAGTCTCCCAATTTGTCTCCATGCCTCAGGCCTGTCCTTTTTCCAAATCATCTTCCATATATCTACCAAAGTGATTTTTCCTAAAAGTCACTTCCTTACTCAATACCTCTAGGATCCTTAATATAAGCTTCTCTGTTTAGTTTTTAAGACTGTCCAGAGCTTGGTCCCAAGCTGCCTTTCCAACTTCATTTGCCATCCCATGTCCTTTCAGCCCAGCCTAGCTTTCTTGCTACTCTAGCTCCCATCTTCTTGCTCTGTCCTGCCTGCGTGGAGTGTACTTCCTAGCTTACCTCCACCTTTTAGAATACCTGTCTTTCCTTTAAAATTCTGCTCAAGCAACACTTTGTACAGGAAGCCTTTTTTGATCATCCAGCTGTCCTGTGCTCTCTCCTGCTAAATTTGTGCTAGATTGTATATTGTATTTGTATTTATTTTGCACATCTTTATTTATGTTCATGTTGTCTCACCTGATAGAATGCAAGCTCCATGAGAGGGCAGATAGGTTAATTTTTGTCTTTATATATCTAAGAAGTGCTCTTGGCATAAACTAGGTGCTTGATAAGTTCCTGTTGATTAATTAATTACATTGTTGATTAGTTTAATTTAGATGTTGGTCTACATCTATTTTCTGCTGAACTGCTTTTTTGTTTTCTTAGACATTCTTATTTTTGGTTTTATCAAAAACTGGACTAGTAATCTCAGTTTTTGATCATTACGTATATACTCTGTTCCACTGGCTTATTTTTCTATTTTTAAAATCAATAACAAAAAATTTTAATGATTATTATAATTTTATTTATTAATGATTATTATTAGTTTATATTGTTGAGGTCTAGAATGTTATGTTCCTTTCATCTTTCTCCCGTTGTTTCCCTTGAGATTCTAAACTTCTTGTATGTTTGTCCAGCTGTAGAAAATAACTATACTCCACAGTAGCTTGTATAGCACAAAATTTATCAATTAATTTAGCAAGTATTATTTTATTAGCCCACAGACCAGATATGATCACTAAATGTACCTTCTATTATATCTTTATTTCTAGGAAATATTTTACAATTTTATTTAAATAAGTCTTGAATATATGTTAATAAGTTGATTCTCAAGTATTTTATGCATTTTGCCATTATTTTGAATTGAATTTCTCTTTCTGTAATTTCATTCTGGTTTATGCTACTGCTATGTAGAAATGCAGAGAGTTTTTGTTCATTTATTTCATATCCCGCTATTTTACTAAGGCCATTAATCATTTCAAATAGTTTCTTAGGCTATTTGTTCTTCGACTTTCTAAGTAAGCCATCATGTCGTCTGCAAATTTGGATATGTTTGCCATTTGATTTCTCTTTCTTGTCTCACTATCACTAGCATTTCTAGAACTATGCAAAATAATAGTTTGGAGAGAAGGCATTCTTGCTTATCTAAACTTGTGCTTATCAGGAAAATATGTAAATCTCTGTTGCAAAGAATCTTAATTTTTAGTTCTAGAGATGCATACTTTTTATTATATTAAAAAAAGTAGCCTGGTGAGTATAAGTACCTCACCGTAATTCTTTTTCTCTTAGAACACAGAGAAATAAAAAATAGTGTTATTTGGGTCATTCATAAGTCAGTGTTAGTGGTAGATTACATTTATAGGTTGTTTTTTAAAAGTACATGTTCTGAGGTGAAGGGTTTCTTTTTTAAGCCATAAGCTGGTGATGTTTTTGGTGCTTTTTGAATGGCTCTACTCAGTGTTGTGTGTATAGCCATGTGGAAATCGTATGTTCCATGTGAAAAATCTTTACTTCTAATTTCAGCTCAGCAAACATTTCTTAAGTATTGTGCTAGAGAAAGATAAGAAGTTTGGCCTCTTAACTGCCCAACTAGACAATAATGACACATAAATAATCAGTAAAATAATTTTTAAATGTGCATCAGGTGAATAAAATTCAAGTGAAGCATTGGAAGACTAATTTGAACTGATGCAAATTGAAGGAAGCAAAACCAGGAGAGCGATAGTGAAAGAAAGAAATATAGTTAAAGCATTAAGCCCTTTCTGTATGCCAGACACTAAGCAAGACAGTATCTTCCTTCAACTAGCTTTCATTCTGTTGCAGGAAGGTGGCATATTAAAAGAGTTTGTTTTTTAATTTAAAAAAAATTTTTTAAGTCTACCAGACTTGTACAAGGGAGCTGCTACATGAAGTCCAAGAGCAAAGACCAGGGAAGGCTTCCTAGGAGTAACATTTATGTTGGTCTTTAAAGGATGGGTAGGAATTCAGTGGTGAAGGATAGTGGTATTCTAGGTATGGGAAACATCATGAATGAAGGTGCTCCCCCCAAGTCAGTAAAATTTTTCATTTCCAAAGTAAAAATTTCCATTTTTACCACTGCATCTTGGAATCAAGCCAATGAGACACCTATGTCATTGGTCACATTGATCAATTTATAGAATACACTGTGGCATATTTCAAAGTTAAACTAACGTGTCCTTTCTTCATTCCTTTCTCTCCCACCCTCATTTTAACAGGCTCGAGTTATGTATAATTTTGATGCTGAACCTGGAAATAATGAATTGACAGTTATTGAAGGGGAGATCATTACAATTACAAATCCGGTAAGAAAAATATCAAGTTAAGGTCACAGAGCTGTATCTCTTTTCATAGGATTCATTGTAGAACAGAATTGATTATTCAAGACCACAAAAGATTTTTTTGCTCTCTGCCCTGAAGTAATTATAAACGGACCAAAAGTGAAATGTTATTTCCCTAAATCTTAAGGCAGGATTGTAACTCTGCTAAAGACAGCTGAGACTACCACTGAATTCATGATTTTCAGAGTGATGTTTTCCCCTGCCACCGCAATATGGTGTCATATTTTTATGATAAAAGATGATGCTTATAAATTTTTTGGCTTATTATCCTAAGGGAATCACTTAGTGTCATTATAAAATGGACCTCACTTAGAAATGGCAGTAGCAGGTAAAAGAAAATATATCTTACTGATGACTGGCATTCTATTCATTTTTTAAACTTTAGATCTGTATTGATGACAAAGAATCAGTTAACTGCGACTTGTAGGTAGGAAAAATGGAATCAGAGAGATTGGTTTTGCCCCTGTGGAAAAACTAGCCGAACTCTGTGACATAAAACCTCACTCTTCATAGGTCTGCCACATGCTGACTATTTTTGTCTCTCGTATAAAAAAATATGCTCTTTCTGGGTAGTTGCCCTACTCAGTCCACACCTCCTGTTCTGCTCTGAGTCACACCACTGCATCATGATCAGAAATGGCAAAATAAATATACATCCTGCATACATTTTTGTCATGTTATATCAATCATATAGTCATGAGGTGACCACTATGTTCCCAAGTGCTTTCGGTGAAACAAAAGTATTAGATGTGGTTCTTGCCCATAATTGATTATATAGAGATTACTAAATACTTAATTTGTGGAACGTATTGCTCATAATTTTTTAGAATAAATTGCCAACTTATTTTCAGCAAAAGATCCTAGACTAAGAGCCAGCAGAGACCTTGAAGGTCGACCTCTTTTATAGGGAACAAAGTTGTTGTTGTTCAGTTACTTAAGTTGTGTCTGACTCTTTGTGACCCCTTTTGGGGGGGAGGGGTTTCTTGGTGTAAAGATACTAGAGTGATTTGCCATGCCCTTCTCCAGCTCATTTTACAGATGAGGAATTGAGGCAAACAGGGTTAAGTGACTGCCCAGGGTCACATAGCTAGTAAGGGTCTGAGACCAGATTTGAACTCATGAAGGTGAGGGTTCCTGATTCCAAGCCCAGCGCTCTATCCACTGTGCCACCCAGCTGCCGTAGGGGACAAAACTGAGGTTAAATGACTTGTCTAAATCAAACCCAACATTTTAACCCAGGGTCTTTTGACTCCATAATATTCATTCCTCAGTATGATGCTCTAACTTTAAAATGAACAATAAAATCTTAATGTCCAGTATATTGAACTTAGTAACAGTGGGACTGGAAAGAAAGAGGGAGGAGTCCTAGAGGCATTGACCTAGGAGTGAATTGGCAGGACTTAGCTGCTGATTGGATGTGGAGGGAGAGGACATGTTAAGGGTGACTTAGGTTTTGAGCTTAGTGAGATCTTTAGCAAGAGCAAGAATTCAGAAGGAAGAGCTGATAGGAGGAAGGGGAGAGGGGAGTTAAATTGTGAGTGGATCGAGCTCAGTTTTGTATGTGTGGAGTTAGAAATGTCTATGGCAGACATCAATGTGGGAGGCCTCTGCATAGTTAAAACCATTGGAGTGGACAAGATCACCGTGAGAAAGCATATGAAAGATGACAGAACGGAGTTTGGGGAAACACTTACATTTAGGGAGCTAGAAGAGTAAGTCAGGAGAAAGTGAAAACGAGAGAAAGGAAGACTGGAATTGAAGGGTAAGGAATCGTGAAGGAGATTTGAGGGTTCTGTAGTGATTAGGGCAGGTAGTTGGCATGGTGGATAGAGTGCAGGGCCCGGAGTCAGGAAGACCTGAGTTCACATATGACCTCAGACACTTATTAGCTGTGTGACTCTGGGCAAGTCACTTAGCCCTGTTTGCCTCAGTTTTCTCATCTGTAAAATGAGCTGGAGGAGGAAATGACAAACCACTCCAGTATCTTTGTCAAGAAGACCCCAAAAGGGGTCACAAAGAGTCAAACATGACTGAAGTGACTCAATGACAACAAAAGTAGTGTTGAAGAAGGCCAGACAGTGAAATTACTGGAAGGGAAATTTGAAAGAGGAAGGCCAAAGAGCTTGTCAGGGTATCAACAAGATGAAGAGAGTGGCACTTCAGCTCCGCATCAGTGCTCCAGTGAAGTTAGCCATAGCAGCTCCTAGCAAGGAAGGTCAGGGATGAAGGTGCTGGCTGCCCTGTGACCTGCAGAGAGCAACTCTTTCCTGCCAAGGCGAAGAATTAATTTTCTGGTTAACAATGCATATACTTCCCTCAGAGAAGAGAAAGTAAAGGAGCTTGAAGAATTTGTCTCCCATTGCTAATCCTGTCTTCCTCCATCTCCCCCAAAAGGGAGGGGCGTTGAGAAGACTTTACCTACAAGAACAGAGAATGAGATGTGAGTTGGACTTCCAAATCTGAGATTCTTTGTAAGAGGAGCAATGGAACCAACAGACATTGGTGAAGTGTAGGTTTTCTGCACAAAAGCATCGTCGTGTCATCATCTCCCTGGTGTAATGGTACTTTTCCAGAACAGAGCACAAATCACCACAACTGTGGCTGTTAAGAAATGTGAATTGACTAGTTAGTAATCACAAAAGAAGACACAAAGTTTAGATTAGAGTTGGCCCCTATTTTCCCAGAATTTACTAGGGATAGATTTCAGAGACAGATGGTAGTAATAAATAATGTTACCTCAGTGCATTTGAGTTAGAAAACAAAGTACTATCTATGTGAGGTCTGAAAAGGGAAAGGGAATCTGGAAAGACTTCCTGGAGAAGGAGGCACATGAGTTGCTTTTAAGGATGACTAGGAGCCAGGGAAATAGAAGAAGAGCCAAGATGTAGGAAACCACAGGAAGAGAGCATTTCAGAAAGGAAAGGGACGGGAGTGTCAGAGGCCCTTGAAAAGTCTGCAAGGATAAGGGCTAAGGAAAAAATTATGGTATACCCTTGAAAATTACTTGGTTATTTTTTAACCCAAATTCAGGCTTCCAAGTGGGATTACTGGAGCAAAAACTGATGGTTGTTCATTTACTAAACATCATCAGGCATCTACTAATATCCTTTAGCATGTGGTCATATATTTGGCAGTTAGAAATAAAGCAAATTCATTTTATTTTTAAGAAGATGTCTAAGGCTGCATACTCAAATTTAAACCAAATTGTTGATTTTTTTTAAATTAATTTTTTTTCTACTTTCCAATATTTTTTCATTAGCTTTGCCTAGAGAAAAAAAAGAAAAGATAGAAAGAAAACTCTTGAAACCAATATACATAGTCAACCAAAATAAATCCCTATTTTGGCCAGTTCCAAAAATGTGCTTCTCATTCTACATATTTAATTCAGCACCTCCCTTTCAGGTTGTGAAAACTTGGATTTAAATTTCTGGGTATTACGAAGTAGTGATTGATGCCATGGGAGTTACCCATTTGTAGTCTAGAATTGACAGATGACTTGCAAAGAAAATGTGGTTATCCAAATTCAGCTAGCTTTGGATAGACTAATGTGGATACTTGACTAGGAGCTCAATGAAGCTCTTCTTAAAAAATGTTTTTTTAAATTTTATTAAATAATCCCTAATTATATGTAAAACAATTTTTAACATTTATTTTTTTAAATTTTGAGTTCCAGATTCTCTCCCTCCCTCCCACCACTCCCCTACCCTTGAGACAGCAAGCATATATCAGTTGTACACGTGAAGTCATGCAAAACATATTTCCATATTAGTCATGTTGCCAAAGAAGACACACACACACACACACACACACACACACACACACACACACAAACCACAAGAAAAATAAAGTAAAAAAAAGTAGGCTTCAGTCTGCCCTTAGAGCCATCAGTTCTCTCTCTGGAGGTAGATAGCATTCAAGGAAACTCTTAAAGTATTGTTTAGGGGAAAATTAGAATGGAGAATGTCAGTGTATTTTAATTTTATGCTGGATAGTCCCATTTAGCCAAAAGAGACACTATAGAGCAGTGGAGAGGAAGGAAGAGAAAAATTAATTTTCCCAGGCCATAACTTACAGGTATGTAGTTCCATTATTTGATTTTCAGAACAATCCTATGAAATAGGTTGCACGTGGGTGCAGCCCTGTGTACCAGATAAGGAAAAAGAGATATCCAAGAATACATAGCAAATAAGTGGCATAGCTCAGACTCAAACCCAGTTTTTCTGGACTTGGAGCTCAGTGTTTTTTCCATTATAGCCAATACATCTCATGAAGTTAGTAATTTTCTAGAATTGAGTCATGGTTTAAATGATGAATGAAGAAAATGTGGTTATCAAAATAGAGCACGCTCTGCATAGACTAATATGGACATTATTTAGAACCAGCACCAGTTCGTCAGTATTTGATTAATTAAGTCTGGGCTTAACGTTTGTTTTTTGTTTTCTGGTAGATAAGGTCTCAAGAGTTTTTTGATGTCTGGGTGACATGGAGGGGGAATGTAACTTATGGATTATGGATTTTGTAGAGATGATATGCTTAGTGTTTAAGTTGTTTTTGTTTTGTTGTGATTCTTCACACAAGTTTTCCAAACATACCAAATTTCTTTTTGCATATTTTTAGGATGTAGGTGGAGGATGGCTAGAAGGAAAAAATAACAAAGGAGAACGGGGCTTGTTCCCACAGACTACGTTGAAGTAAGAATTTTCATTTAATTACAACAGTTATAACTGATTGCTTCTGTAACTTATTTTGGATGAACTGGTTTGAGGGGCAGAACATAAAAGAGAGTAGCAATTATTCCTACCAAATGTGTTCCCTTCCTTGGTATGATCAGTAGTAGTTAAAATGACATAAATGATATTGTTCAGTAGGTGTCCTGGAAAAATTGGAAGCCATCTTATTATTGATTTTAGTGAATAATGTATGTTGAAGTAAGCAAGATAATAGCTCATTTATCTCTGTTGTAATTGTTATTTTTTGTTAGTACATTACACTATAATTCATTACCTTTATGTAATACTTGACAGTTACAAAGTTCTTTCTCCCACAATAATCTGATGAGATAGGTAATGAAAATATTATGCCTAATTACCAGATAAGAAAACTGAGATTAAATGACTTGTGTACTAATAAGTGACAGGGCCAAAGCACCAAGTCCCAATCTTAGGTTCAGGGGAGTTAAAGCTTACATAGACCCCAGAGACTATCCCTTTTATTGTACAGAAGAAAATGGGATCTAGAGAGGCCACATGTGTTGCCCAGAGTCACTCAAAAAGAGCTAATCTTTGAGTCCCTATCTTCTGCCTCCAAATCCAGTGTTGACTGTACCACAATCAGAATTTCCCAATTCGTTTTCTCTGTATCCTGTTTTTAAAAAAAAAAAAGTTAGCTGCTTATTGAAACTGTTAGCTGCTGCTCATTATCTTTGGTGTCCATTACTGTAGCATTAAATTCCTTGAATTGGCCATCCATGGTTAGACACCATTCAGTTAAAAGCTAACCAACCAATAATGACCAAAAAAAACAAAACAAAATACCATTTCTCAGCCAACCAGCTAGCTCCCTCTGCTGGTTGCTTGTTCTATATCATGTATAAAATGGATGTAAAATGCTATGATCAGTCAAGTTCAGCCGATGGGAGAGGCACTAAGGTCCTGTGCTGAGATACGGAGGTGTTTGTTTGCTTCTGTTTTTTAACCTAGTGGGTAAGGGAAGAGAGAATACTCACTCTAGAAAAGAGATGATGTCTTTCGGGAGGAAAGAAGATGATATGTATGAATTGTCTCCTGGGATCCCTTTTAATAGAAAAACCTTTCTTAGGGCCGCTCTTCCAGATCGTTAACTCACTAAGTAGAGGGGTCATGTTATAATGTCTCATTCATGTCTGCCCAGAGGTAGAAAATCAACTACTAAAATTTATGAGAACAGTCTCTGCTTTTCATGTGAGGCCTCAAAATCCCTTAAGATTGAGGGAAGTCTGAGGGGTGGCTGGCATTGAAGTTCATCACAACTACCAGACTTGCTGGTTTTAGCAAAATCACTTGGGTATCCACCTTGATGTTTTCAATAAGTAACTTAGGATTCATTCAGTCAGATGCCAAGCACTGTGATAGGTGCTGAGGGAGATACAAGGAGAGGTAAAACCCAGCCCAAGCCCCCTAAGGACCTTACATACAGTCTAGTAAATAGGATCTCAAGCACCATTTTCCCCCTGGTGGTTGGCTCTGCTGGCCTACAATAATCCTAACCTCAAGTGAACTATGAATTGACTGAAAATAATAAGAGCTTCTTCACTCTTCAGATTTTGACTAATGGTGGGAAAGATCAGTTTTCTTGTGGAAATTCAGTAGCTGACCAAGCCTTCCTGGATTCTCTGTCAAGTGCAGTTCAAGTCAGCGCCTCAGCGGTCAACAGTAATAACCAGGTATGTGTTCTCCTGTCTTACTGAAAATGGAGGGCTTTGCCGAGCACACAGTTTATTGTGAGAGCTGTGGTGCGTTAAGTTGTTGTTCTCTAAAAGCACAAAAGAAAGTTGCTATTAGCGTAATGTGCTGCATTTCTGTTGAGTGTCATTAGCAAAGAAATCACACATTCAGCATCGATAGAGGCTGTTTTTGAGACATTAATGACTATAAAAGAGTTCTGGCGCAGTGGTATGAATTCAATTATGAAGTCTCCTATGGAAGCTGAAGAAATATAGAAAAGAGGGACATGAGAGAAAAAGGTCACTTGTTCCTGAAAGTTTCAACTGACAAGGCACCTGCCACAAAAAATAAGCAAACAACTATTTTTTGCCTACCAAGGAAAGCTAATGCATTTGGATGAATTGAAAAAACTGCATTAGAGTAATACAGTATTATTATAGAAGTGGTTGACCTTTGACTGGTTTAAGTGAATTTTAGTTTAGTCTTGCCTTCCGGATAGTTATGCAATGTGAGCTGCAAGTCATGCTAAGAAAATGATAAGAGTCAGTAGATTTCATTTTACTACCTTCCTGTTACCTAGGATTCTATTAAGAATATTGGAGGGATTTTATTCCCTATATTTTTATACATGTATGTCAAACTTGTTTAACTTTTTAAAGACTTCTCCAAAAATTAAGGATATACTTTAAAATATCCCTAGGTTTTCTTTAATAACCTGTTATGGGCCTGTCATCAGTGCAATTTCCAAAAGCTTCTTAAAACTCTTTCTGTTTTTGGCGCTCCATAATGGCAAGAGTGTTGGATTAAATAATGGCAACAGTGTAAAAAAGTGGAAAGCATCGATTAAAAATATTTATTTTTTTTACAATTTTAAAAATTAAAAAAACAAAACTGTGGCCAGTTCATTTGACCAAGCTTCCATTTCTAGCTAGATTCTGACACTAACTAGACTTGTGCCCTTGGACAATCACAGAATCTTTCTAAGTCTTGGTTTTCTACTCTGTAAAGTGAGCAAATTGAACCAAGTGATCTATGAGAACTTTTTTAGCTGTGCTATTCTATGATTTGAAATCCTTGAGTTTATTAAGAATTATATGAAGTATCACTTGTTTTCTTTTGACTTTTTTCCTAAAAATATTGCTTTCAAGGTTCAAAGGCAGTCATCTTCTTTTTTTTCCTCTGACCTTTTATAATAACAGTAATAATAGTTAATAGCTGGCATTTATATAACCCTTTAAGGTTTGTATGTCTTACAAATACTATTTCATCTGATCTTTACAATAATGCTGAGGAGTAGGTGCTGTTATCTTCATTTTCCAGATAAGGAGACTGATGCAGACGGAGGTTAAGTGATTTGCCCAGGGTCACTTAGCTAATTAGTATCTGAAACTGGATTTGAGCTGAGATCTTTGCTCTACACAGAGGATTATGGAGTATGGAAAAAGGCCTCCATATAAACTGTAGGCTATAACTGTAGTCATGATGCTCCTATTTTAATCTCCCTCCCCCAAAAGTATTTCTTATGTCCTAAAAGTATTAGGGAGATAGTAATTTTTAAAAATTAATTTATTTTAAATTTTCAACATTCACTTCCATAAGCTTTTGAGTTTAAATTTTCTTACTCTCCTTTCCCTCTTCCCCCCCAAAAATGGTGTGCAATCTTATATAAGCTTTACATATACATTCCTATTAAACATATTTTCACATTAGTCATGTTGTAAAGAAGAATTAGAAGCAATAGAAGAAACCATGAGAAAGAAGAAACAAAACAAAACAGAAGAAAAAGAAGATCAAATAGTATGCTTCGATCTGCATTCAGACTCCATAATTCTTTCTCTGGATGTGGATAGCATTTTCCATCATGAATCTTTTGGAGATTTCTTATGTCCTTGCACTGCTGGACATAAGTCTATTAAAATTAGTCATCAAACAATGTGGCTGTTAACTGTGTACAGTGTTCTCCTGCTTCTGCTCACTTCATTCAGCAAGATAGTAATTTCTTTACTCAGCTGTGTTGTTTAATTTGTGTAGGTTTAATTTGTAAACTTTGGTTGGAGGGAAGTGAATTGACCAGTCAAATATTTAGAGACATGAAGAGTGCTTTTGTGTGACCATTTTGAAAACCATAATTCTGGTACTCTGAAGTAACGTGTCAATCGAAATTTATAATATGATGAGACATTCTGGTGAGCCGTTTGCATGAGGGAGTATAATTAACTCTTAAAGGCAGGAGGCTGTAGTGATTCCTTTATTTTATTATTCAAGAAATATCTTTTCTGATCTAGATTATTCAGTTGGGTGTGAATAGTCAGAGCCACAAAGAATTCTGACTTTCACTTGTATACTGTATCACCATCTCTTTTGAGGTGAGACTAAATAGATTTCATTAGATCCCCTTCGAACTCCCACTTTATATCCCTAATTAGATTAAAAAGATAGATTGACAAGCAGTGAAGCATCAAAAATGTTTGCTATCAATAAATTGAGCATAGTACTAAATTTCAGTGGGTAGATGATAAAATTTTGAGGAAATCAAAAACATTTATCTTGAAACTGAGAATAATTTTAAAAGGGCTAATACAGAGTGGTGATATTTTTACCAGTTGTGGGGTTTGGTTTTTTTTTTTTAAGTATGTTAATATTCTAGCTAAATTTCCACGTTTCTTAAATCGATCTGCGATTTGATCAGTATAGATACTCCTTCCAGCACTACATGTTGCAACCCATCCATGTTTTCTCATCCTGTTAGGCTCCTGTAAATCTTCCCCTGGTGTTATTTCCTTTTCCAATCACACATCTTTCAGATATGAACTTGTGTGCTACTTCTATTCAATCAGGAAGGCGACTGGAGGGATCTGCAAAGGTTTCATATAGAAGATGATGCTTAAATTGTATCATCAGGAAAGAAAGGGATTCTCTAAAGCATAGCTGAGCAGGGTGTGCATTTCAGGTAGGAGGGATGTCTAGGACAAAGGCACGTTAACTCAGCAATTAGAATTCATATGTGGTGCCTCTGGCACCCTAAATGATGAAAAGTTTGCTATAAAAACATAGATCTTTTCCATCTTTTTTATCTGTCATCCTCTTCCTCCTTCCATTTTTAAATGTTTTGGAGTGACTTTTCTTTGTTGAGTCTTTTGCCAACCTTTCAGAAAACATTCTCTAATACTCTATATTATGAGTAAATACTGTCCGTAATCCATCCCCCATCCTTTCTGTGAGCTTTCTAATATATACTGGTATTGTCGCTGGCCGGTAAATCTTCCCACTTGACAGGGAGATCAGTTTTCACTGGCTTATGTGGTTTCTGAGCTCTTTAGGTCTCTTTGTTGTGGCAGTTTACACTGGTTAAATAAACTTCCTTAGGAAATGATAGTGGTTTGTGTAGTCAATATCTAATCTTTTATCTCTTTTCCCTTTTTGGTGTCAACTTGTTTAAATCAAGGGAGGGTCACTTCGCTTGCTACCAACATCTTGTTTTTCTTTTTCTTTGATGTTGATTTTGGTTTTGGCTCTAACAAGTCAATGTCTTACTCTGCAGAGATATCTGATTCAGAAATTGTTTGCTCATTAGAACTCTGTCTTTTCTTGCCAAAATATAATCAATTTTTTTTTTTGCCTTTTGGTGAGGCACTCAGGGTTAAGTGACTTGCCCAGGGTCACACAGCTAGTAAGTGTCAAGTGACTGAGGTCGGTTTTGAACTCAGGTCCTCCTGACTCCAAGGCCAGAGCTCCATCCACTGTGCCATTTAGCTGCCCCAATTTCATTTTTTAAAGATAGTATTTGGTGTCCACCTTGTTGATTACCTGTCAGTTTTCAATACAAAAAAAAAGGTATTCAGATATATAAGTATAAGGTATATAAACTTATATTTGCATAGGTATGAAGCTTCTGTACAGTCTACAAACCATTTTGCCCTCTTTTTGTTTCTTATTCCTAAATCACTTTTTCTAAGAGTTTTCATCATTCTTTGCTGTGCCCACTTTTGTACTGAAGTCACGAAATATTGACGTGTGTGTTAATTTAATGTAGAGGGTCTTATCTAGTTTTTCATTAAATTTCTATTTTCTCATCCTTTGCACCAGATTTTGAGGCATGAGCTGTAATTGTTTACACTAGTGGTTTTCTTGGAAATGCTTATCATGAGTACTGCAGTGTCAAATTCCCTTTCTCATGAGATACTGTTCCTTGTTGCCCTTGGCCACTCAATAAGAGTGATTCTCTTTATCTGACTCTCGAAAGAAAACCTGTGAGCCATCTTTCTATTTAGCTTAAACTGCCTTTTGTTTTCCGGTTTCATTTATAGTAAGAAAAGTCAGAATTGATATTATTCATTTCTTCCAGTAAATATAGAGGCAGCTAGATGGTTCAGTAGATAGAGGTCTGGGCTTGGAGTAAGGAAGAACTGAATTCAAATGCAGCCTGTTAGTTACTAGTTACTACCAGTTAGTTACTACTTGGGCAAGTCACTTAATCTCTGTTCTCCTTAATCCACTGGAGAAAGAAATGGCAAACATTTCCACTCCAGTGTCTTTGCCAAGAAAACACTGTGGACAGTGTGGTTCTAGTCCATGGGGTCACAAAGAGTCAGACAAACAACAACGAATAATATGCCCATTTGTAGGTCACTGGACGAGGTTCTCCCTTTCAGAGTATTATTAGCTGGATAGTGTTTGCAGATGGTCAGAAAACCATGATTCTTAGCGTATTTTGTCAACCTTTCTATCACTGTCACAGTTAAGACGAAAGCTCAGGAGAAAACCACAAGGGACTGAGGGCCCTATCTATGTTTTGTAAAGAAATTGTGAAGATAGATTTCAGGAAGGTCATTGACAAAAACAGAGGCCCTATATACACCAAAATAGTTAAATCAGCACTTTTTATGGTAACAGAGCTGGAAATAAAATCCACTTTTATTGGAGAATGCCAAAACAAATTGTGGTACATGAATGTGCTAGAATTTTGTGCTCTAAGAAGTGATGGATGTGATCAATATAG